TAGTCCTCAGGCATTGCTGAATGCCCTTGCTGAGCCATGGGGGTTTCTGAGCACTCTTGCCCTCCTTGCTTCTCTCAGGGACTGTTACCCTTTAGGCCTGGAGGATCGCCCCCTTAAGGTACAATCATCCCTCATGGACTCCCATCTCCTCTACCTTCTGGGCCCTCAGTGCCTCCCCCACTAATCCCTGAAGCTCATTGAAGTTGGCCCTTCTGAAGTCAAGGGCTTTAGTCTTGCTAGAAGCCCTTGACACCCTGCGCTGGATAGTGAATTCCAGCAGGTGATGATTGCTATTGCCCAGGTGGTCAAGGATATGCAGTCCCCTCACCAGGTCATCCCCAGTGGCCAGGACCAGGTCCAGCAAGGCGTTACCCCTAGTGGGGCTGTGCACCTCCTGGATAAGGTGAAGGTCCTGTAATACAGCCAGGAACCTACACGAGCGGTCAGACCTGACTGTCTGCTCCTCCCAGCAAATGTCTGGGTAGTTTAGGTCACCCATGACAATGACATCCCTTGACCTAACTGCTTCCATAAGCTGACCAGAGAAGTCCCGGCCCAGTTCTTCCCCCTGGTTGGGTGGTCTGTAGTAGATACCCACCGTAAGGTCCCTTTTGCCATGCCCCCCCTTGTAGTTTGACCCACAGTGTCTCTGCCCAGCCCTCCTCTAACCCGAAGCTAATCCTTGATGATGTCAGTTGCTCTTTGACATAGAGTGCGATCCCCACCTTTCCTCTCTGTCCTGTCCCTTCTATATAGGGTGTATCCCCAAATGCCTACCACCCAGTCGTGGGTAGGATCCCACCAAGTTTATGTGAGCCCTACTAAGTCTGGATTCTTACTCTGAATCAGGAGGCACAGTTCTTCCTGCTTGCTCCCCATACTACAAGCATTGGTGTAAAGGCACTTGAGGCCTCCTGAGGGTGCATGCGCCTCCCCCCTACTCCCAGGTCTGTTGTGGCCCCCTACTCCCAGGATGTTGTTGCTTACCTGGGTGTCCCTTTCTCTTGTCACCCTGCATGCTGGCAAAACATCCTCTCCACTCTGAGTGGCCTCTTCCCCTAGCAAAGCTATTTTAAAGCCCGCCGTACAAGATCAGCCAACCTAGAAGAGATCTGTCCAAATCATTTTGACTCAATCTGATACGGAGATTTGGCTGCCGCCAAATTGGCTGAATGTCTGAATCAAACAGGCCCCACCCCCTGCCCACTCTCCCAGCCTTGTCAGTGGCTGCACCGCCCAGCCTCAGTGTCCTGGCAGTTTGGAAGAAAAAAAAAAAGCCCTGCACTCACCGGATCCTGCCAGGCAGGGAAGGCAGGGGGGCAATCCTCGCTATTCCCCAGTGCCCCGTGCTGCATGGGGGGGCTCTTCCATGAGCCCCTATCCCCTACCCACTCTCCCAGCCTAGTCAATGGCTGCCCCATCTGACCCCAGCATCCCAACGCTTTTTTTTTTTAAAGCCCTGCACTCACTGGCTGCTGCCAGGTGGGAGGGGGTGATCCTTGCTGCCCCCCACTGCCCTGCACTATGTGGGGGAGCTCTACCATGATCCCCCAGAGGCCCCAATGGCTGCTGCAGCAACCGGTGAGTGTGGGGCTTTAAAAATTTTTTTTTAAGAGCCGGGATGCTGGGGCACTCAGAGGCAGCCATGTGGGGGTGGGGCTTGGAAAGCTGGAGGGGGGCAGGGGGTGCTCAGGAACCAGCATGGAGTCCAGGTCCAGCTCCCTGCAGTGGCGAGCAGGGACTGCCTAAATCTCCAAATCTCTCCAAATCTCCCTGAATCTTTTCTGAATTGATTCAGAGAGCTTTGAAATGATTCGGACCTTTTTATTGGTCTCCTGACTTGATTCGGATTTGGAGATTCGGCAGCCAAATCTAGCCGAATCTCCTCCGAATTGAATTAGCACCCGAAGCTTCACACAGCCCTATTAGACATCATAATCTTTATAACAGTGTCCTGACTATTAGAAGAACATGCCATCTCTGAAAATAGTTTTTTGCACTGGTAATGTCAATTAGCTCAATATAGTAATGTCTTTTATTTCTGATCCACCTAACTGAAAAGCTGTTAAAAATATTAACATAAAAATTCACATTTTCACATTTTACAAGTTTATTGAAGGTTTTGTTTAATAAAACAGAATATGCAAAGTGCTCAGTTACATTGATCACTATTTCATTAATAAAACTGCATCTATATCATGATGAATGAAATGTAACATTTGTATGTAAAATGTATTTTCTTTCAAGCATAATTCTACCTCTTACTATTAGCAGTGCTTTCCTTAGGTGAAGACTCTTTGAACACCATGGTAAAGTACTACTCAGGATTGCTATGTGTGACAGAATTATTGTGCTTATAGAAGGAACTTGATAAGGAGCTTGATATAGAGGCATTTTATAGTTACCCATGAAATAGGTATATTACAGGCAACAGAAGTACAGCTTCCATAACTTCCTTTAAACATACATTATCCTTCATTTGTAAGTAATACACTTAAAAGTAGTAGTAGTAGTAAAGTGTACATATTCATTTCATTCCCTAAACCACCTACTATCTACAGGCTGTCACTGCCAGTGATGGTGGTGGTGTTTAGTCATTGGGTATTTACGGCATTTACTATAGCAGTGTGATTCACCTCATGTGATACTAAACATCTGTCAATCCATGACTGATTGCTTCTCAGGGAAATCACTAAAATGTATACACAAATTACTAAACGTATGAACTCAGCCGTTTAGAATAGAGTTGCTCTACAAATGCATTTGGTGTCTAATAGTGGCCTAAAGACTCCCACCAAATTAGATGGGACAAATTTCTGAATTTATAAGGAGGTGATTCTTGCAGCAGCCCCCACTATCATCCACTAATGAATCAGTAGCTAATTTGAATAAAGGAAGCCAGTGAGATCTGTGTTCTGGATGCCATGTGCCTAGCGAAATCATTTGACATGTGGGAAAGTTTAGAACTCTAAAAGAATTGTTTACGCTTGTAGTAATGCTTGCAATGTGAACAATATGTACACCTCTCCTAGCACACAAGTTGGGTGGCATTGCATTTGATACTAGGTTTACAAAGGTTAGCTACAAAATGTAAAATGAAAGGAAGGTAGTTCAGCAAATCTCAGAGAAGCCTGACAATATTTGCCTATATGACTCTGTTTGACTGACCTCTTAGGCTGTTAGGCTGAAAGTGGGTGATGCAAAGTGAGTATATATCTGAGTTCAAGCATCATGTTGAATGCACACACACACGATTATTTTGCAACAGAAAAGTTGGCACAGCACAATAGGAATCAGGCTTCAAAAATATAGGACAGTCAAGAAGAGCAAATACAATAACAAAAAATAAATTCCACTCTTTTAATGTTTAGCGCTAGACAACTGTTGTAATATAAAAGTAAGAAAGGCCAAAGAGGGAGGAGGGGTAAATAGTCACTAGCAGGACATGGATGATGAACTAATGATCTGGGTGAAAACACATTTACAAAGGTTCTACTTTTATTTTTTCTCCTCCTCCTCCTTTGATGTATGGCAGCCCATTAATGGAAAGTGCTTGTGAGAAGCTGTGCTTTTCTGGATCAGAATGTTTCATCTCAGCTGTTGGCAGAGCACGCCATCAAGTCTGAGCATAGAGATATGGCTGCTGTCTATTTTATATTGCCTGCCAGCAGGAGCATTGATGGAGTGAAGGTTTGAAATGACTGTAATTTGTTACCTCCCAGTTATCAAGTGCATCAATCTTGTCTTTTCTGGCCTTTTCTTCACACAAAGGCTGTTTTTCAAAAAGACAATGCACATATTATTGTGAAAATACTCAAATAATTTAAACCAGACCTATAAATTCTATTTAAAAATAAAATATACTCCTGCTGTTTTAATATTTCAGTTTTGGTTAAATTTTACAATCTCTGACATCTACTTTCCTCCCTTTCCACTCTCCCCCAACATATTGTGATTTATTATCAACATTGCTAATAAAATATGCTCTATGACAAGTAGGACAACTTAAATAATTGTGGGTGGAAATCTACTTGGTCTGGGATTTGTGTTATGGTGGAGACTCTCATATGAGGAATTCACAATCTAAACGAGATTGTTGAGTAATAGAGGTCTTGTTTTTTTTTCTTTTTTTCCTTTCCCACCCCTTTCCCAGCTGTGTAATGGAGGTTCTGTCACAGATCTTGTCAAAGGCCTGGTGAAGTGTGGCCAGCGGTTGGATGAAGCTATAATCTCATACATCTTATATGGTGCTCTCTTGGTAAGGATGGTAATGGCAGCAAGGAGTGCAATTTACTCATCTCATAACTTTTTCATTTATAAACTATGGTAATGTTGACAATATTATGCTGGCTGTTAGAGCAGCGGGAGGCATATCAAGCATGTAATCCATCGGACAGATATTTCTATAGTGCAAGTGCAGACTGTCTTCATTATGCTCCCTAATAGTAGGGTAATCATTTTTAAATAAGGGACTAAATTTATTTTTGTCATTCCTGTCATATAGGGCCTTCAGCATTTGCACAATAACCGGATCATTCATCGTGACGTCAAAGGGAACAACATTCTTCTGACAACAGAAGGTGGAGTCAAGCTTGTTGACTTTGGTAATGACTATTTACAATTTGTTTTTTTGACCTGTGCAGTTTAGCCAGAGGCGCCCATTTATTTTCAACTGCTGGGCAGAGGCAATACTAGAACACCACTGGGGAAGAGACTTTTCCATGAGACGTCTGGAGATATTTAGAGCATGATGGGGAAAAGTTATAAATGGAGAAATCTAGAAAATTTTGTGAAGACATCTGAAGCTTAAACATTGTTCAAAGAAACCATTTTATTTGCAAAACTCCTTTGCATTCCACTAGGAATAACATATCTCAGGGAAGTTGTCTCTAATTTAAATTTAAATATTACATTTTTTGCATATGAAAAGAAAACATTCTTCTCTCTCAAATGGCTTTCACTAGCCTCAGGCACATTTGCTCCCTCTGAGCAGAAGGTAAAGTGGTCCTATGCGTCCTCAATCTAACAGATCCATTTAATTTGTGATTACTGCTGTTAGATATGGGTCTGGCTGGATTGGAAACATCAATAACAAGCAGAAAGAGAGAAGCAGAGTATGGGAATTTTGCAATAGAATTTATTTCCACGTAAGTGTCCATTTCTTGAAAAATATGTATATTTAGAAACGTAAAAGTATGCTAGATTCCTTCTTTAGACTCAAGTATGTGTAAAACATAAAGTGATATTTTATTAACAGAGAGGAGCAGGATATCAATAGTATATGAAATCATATTGAGTAAGCATAAGCGTGTAAGTTAAATAGTACAAATGACAGTTGTTTGCCCGACAGTGCATGAAGTGAAAGGAAAATATTCACAGAATGAGAGTGTGCCATAAAAGTGGTGTGCCAGAAATCCTGCAAAGAATGAAATAACCTAAAATTATAATACGGGAATATTATAACATGAGGAAAGCAAACAAAGGGGCTGCTATAACAGCATTATTTAACTAACATTGTTTTTTAAATCTGGGGACTGTTAGTAAAATAAATTTAAGAAGCAGATTTTTTTTATTACTTGCTAGAGATTGAAATTCATTGCTGCTGGGTGGGAGAGGCAGGCACACAATTAAATTAGTGCTGAGAGGAATATGTGGCCTGAGGAAAAACTCGCAGTGGCCCCTTTTGGCATTTAATGGTTGGGGGAAAAAAATCCCTTTTCATTTGAGGCAGTTTTACAGCCTAATTTTTAATAATAACTATTATTATAATTATTACTCACTAATTGCCTGTCAAGAATGATGGATTTCAGGGAGTGTTTACATGGCCCCCTTTGCTCCCCACTCACCCTTCAGAGCCATGTAAAGACTCCCTGCTGTGCTGCCACTTTCTCCTCCAGTCTTCGGTGTAGGGGCTCCCTCCCACTTTCCGCCTCTGCCTCTCAGAGAGGTTTCCCCCCGCCTCCCCTTCCCACACTGCTCCCCTCTGTCCCTCCCTCCCCTCCACCACCCCGTCCCACCGCTGGCTGTTATCGGGGCTGGGCGGCAGGGAGGCACTACCACCGTGACCCTCCCTCTCTCCCTCCCCTCCCCTCCCCTCCCCGCTTCCCTCCCTTCCTTCCATCCCTGCTGCCCGGCCCCGACAACAGGTGACACCATGACCCCCTCTTTGCCCCCCCCATCCCACTTCCCTTCGTCCCTCACTGCCTGCCATCTCCCCCTCCCTGCCAGTTGTTCTGGAGGGCTTCGAGGACAGGCAGTGAGGGGACACTGCCACCATGACCTCCCCCTTTGCCCTCAGGCAGGGAGGCATGGGGAAGCCCTGCTGCTCAGGTGGCCAGGGAGTGTTTGCCACTGCCACAAACTTCCCCAGCAGCAGCTCAAACTTGGGCCCACGCAGCCAGTCGCCACCCGCCCTCTCAGCAGCACATGCACAGTTGGTCAAAAGCATTACGGACAAACAGACACACAGACAGACTAAGCCCCATATATATAATAGGCCCAAGGCTCCTGAAGCTGCCACTGGAGGAGCAGCCTTGGGAGTGGTGCGAGACCACTTGGGCTGTTGTCGGCACACAGGGACAGTACACAGAGACCTGGCCCTGGGAGTGGTGTGAGACTGCTCGGGCCCATCACAGTGCATGGTTCACCAGCTTGAGCCTGCAACCCTGGCAGGGCCTTGGGGGCCTCACTGAGGTGGCTCAGGCCCCATCTCCCAGCAAGTGGCCAGGTCCCACGGTGTGCAGGGCGGTGCATGGACCCAAGACTTGGGAGCCAGGGAGCAGGGAGTAGTGGAGGCTGCCTGGGTTAGCCACCCAGTGTGAGGACGGACGGACGGAGCCTGAAGGGCCTGGTGTGTGCTAAAAGAGCCCTTGGTGCCAAAGCCAAGGCACAGGGAAATAGTAGTGCTGCAGCATGAGGCCCAGCACCCAGAAGCCAGCAGCAGTGGTGCAGCAGCTCAGAGGAGCTGAGCCCTCAGTGCCCAGAGCAGGGCACAGGGTGGGGAGGAGCCCAGTGGTATGGGAGAGTCCTGAAGAGGTGCTCCAGCAGAGGAGACCCCATTGAGCTGTGCCTTGACCTCCACCACCTGAGGGAGCATGAGTCATTGGGCCTTTGGGTCCCCCAGGGGAAAGACGTTTGGAGCAGGCAAACCCAGAGAAGGGGCTGGGTGAGCAGCCCCCCTCCCCCCCCCCCCCCCTAGTCAAGGCCCTAAGGGGAGGGGGGCCCCTGGTGCTTCCTGGACACCACCCCCAGGGGACTCCATTGGAAGAAGGACTATCTCTTGCCATGGATCAGGGACTATATTAAGGAATAGATGTTATTAAGATTGTTCATGTTTGCTCCTTATATTTTGTAATTGAAATGTTGTATTGTGATGTAAATAGTGTTATTTAGGGTTTGATCTTGGTTATTGGTTAATGTTCACTGTGTAAATATATGTATATGATATTTATTTTTATGTTTATTATAACTCAATAAATTGTATATAGTTAAGAACTTTGGGCTTGGGCTAACTCTATAGAGGAAAGAGGGATCTGCTCAAAATTCTGGCATCCCTCTCACAGCACCCCCTCCTGCCCACCCATCCCATCCCATCCCATCTCATCTGTTTGAGAATAGGGCACACCCTTGGGTGTACCCGGGTTACATATAGAATTATAACTATTGTGAATTGGCAGATATAGTCTTTTCTTTCTAAAACAAAGACACACAGCCAGGCATATTGAAATGTTGGCCGAATTTACAGCTGCAGGTCAATTTTCAAGCATAAGTCTGGAGAAAAGTATGTTGTTTCCCCATATGTAATTAATTTATACTATGGTTCCATTGGCAGACTGTAGCAGCCACATGCTTTGGGACTTGAAATTTGACAGGCTTAGGGATATGCTTTTTTCTGTTCCTGTAAATATTCTGTCAAACTATAGGTCTTTGAAAAATTGTAGATCCCACATGCTCAGCAGAGATTTCATAAACTTTGCAGCTAAATTCTTTGAAGATTCTGACTGCATTCAGCACACTCCACCCTTTCTATAATTCAGCGTGTGTAACAGGAGTGCCTTCCTCATCACCTGCAGTGTGGTGCAGCTTATGCCATGCAAATGGTCAGAACATGTTCTAATTTCTATAGGTCACAGCAATGCTTACTATGATCTCAGATAAAAAATGTGCTAAGTGTCCCATGCAACAAGGCCCTTTTTCTGTTAGTTCAAATGATAGAGGACAGTGCTGTGTATCTTAAGATCCTGGCCTTGGAAAGAAATATGTGAATCCTCATTTCCTATAAATAAGCATTATACTATTTTTTGGCAGGGTTGGGAGTGGGAGGTGCAGTTCAGCATTTACAAAGAAATACAATAGAACATTTTTTCTGTTGAAAAGAACTCAGAAAGGCAACATAGATAGAATGCGTTTAATACGATTCCTATTTGCAATTTCTGGGCTTATCTTGTGAATCATGTTTGTACACCTAAAAGGGATAATTGTTGAAAGGATCTCAAGGTACCACAGGATGTTTTGGCAGCCTGGTTGGAAATCACTGGACTACAAGATTAGCTGCTATTTTTCTCCTAGGCCTCACTCAGTGACCAGGATATACTTGTTCTGGGGATGAATCAGGGCTGTGTAGTGAATGAAGCTGTTATTAATAGGACATCTGCCTTATTTATTGCAGAAGTTCAAAAGTTTATAGTCAATGAGACAGTGAATTATAGAAAGAGAAAGGATGGTCTTCTGATTAAAATGGTTAAATGCTAATGAATTGGGTCAGAATTTGTGGTAGAGGAGACATATTTTATTAGACCAACTACATAGTTGCAAAAATATATATATATATTTGCAGGCTTTGGGGCACACTCACCCTTCTTCAGACATAGGAGAATGCAAAAATTGTAAAATTTCTCCCATGGAAATGAAAATTCATATTTCACAGGAGAACTGAAGGCATAGTAAGATATCTTGGTTGGCAAAGTTAATGTTGTGCTAATTATTCTCAGGTAAAAGTTAGAGCAGTCTGTTTTACCTCAAAGTTGTCTGATGGCAAGCAAGATGTTGAATTGTGTTTCCTTCTGGTTATTATGATTCACAGGAGGATGGGGTGATGGAATGCTTTCCTGGGCAAGCAATTTCTCTTGTGTTGAGGCAGCTTTGTGCTCTGTGAACATGCACATTTTAGCTCGAAAACAAAGCCAGCAGCAAGGGTGTCAGCTTTCAGGTTTCTGAGTGTTGAATTTAGCTTCCTTCTTGTAAAATTATGACGTTTTCATTTCAGAAGCGGCTAAATTCAATATCTTCCATGTTTCAGGGACACAGGTTGTAGCCATATTGGTCTACAGACAAAAAGGAATCAGGCAAAAGGAATCAGAATGAATTGGGCTGTATTCCTGCCTCTGCATGCTTCTGTCACAGTTCCTACATGATACTAGGCAAGTCACTGACTGTTTACGAGTAGATTCCTTGCTTTCTTTCTGAGAGACCTGGTGACCCTTTTACACAAAAGCTAAGCACTCTGAAGTGCAACTGAGGTCAATCGTAACTCTACTTGGATCATGTAAAGTGTTATAAAATGCCAAATAATCAGAAATATCAGACTGTAGCTTCTCAAATTGGGCAAATTTTGGCTTTAATCTTAGTGTCACTATTCCCCATGTGTAAAATGTATCTGATAACATTCCTTCATCTCATAAAGATGTTGTGAAAGTATAGTCATTACTTATTGAAAAATGGAGATATTGTACCTTAGAATATCCTATGAGGAATATGATAATTCTATATTCAGTTGAGGGTTCGGAGAGTGTACAGCAAATACGTCTAGTGGCTAGAAATTAAGGCTTTGCAAAGCTTCGGGTGCTGATTCGATTCGGAGGAGATTCGGCCCAATTCGGCGGCCAAATCTCTGAATTTGAATCAAATCGGGAGACCATTAAAAAGGTCCGAATCAATTTGAAGCTCTCTGAATTGATTCAGAAAAGTTTCGGAGAGCTTCAGAGAGATTCAGGCAGTCCCTGCTTGCCGCTGCAGGGAGCTGGATCTGGACTCTGTGCCAGTAAGTAGGGGGTGGGAGGGGACCAGGGGGGACCCCCACTAGGCCCCATCTCCAGCCCCACTGAGTGCCTTCCCCCACCCCCAATTCAAATCACCAAATCAAATTATTGCCCTCCACATTGGCCGAAACTGAAGTGAATACTAGCGGTTTCTCACGGGCCTACTAGAAATTGATGAGGACAAAGAGGAATATTGGATAGCTACTCATTTAATAACCATCATCCATTCTGCATCTGAAAAGGTCATGAGAACAAACAGAATGAGATCATGTAATATATATATATAATGCATAATGTAACAACGGGTTACAAATAAATTGGCAAGGACAGCCTTCATTCTTTTAATGTAGACCTTCTGGATATAATATATACATATATAACTCCAAGATATCAGTGGCATGAAAAATAGTTGCATGTTGCTCACAGTATAAACGGACATAAAATGTCTGAAATTTACAGTTGTTTCTTTCTCTTACTCTGTCTCTCTGTCTTTCTCTTTTTTTGTCTCATTGGTATTCAATACTACTTCAGAGTGTCATGGTAACGATAGTCTTTAGATAGCAGCTACAAATTCTGCCAGTGTGAACAAGAATTAGAGTTAAATAATGGAGGTTCACTGTAGGTTTCAGCCAATAATTGGTTCACAATGGTACCACAGAAATCACTGAAAGACTGCAATCACCTTCAGATTAAAAATAGAATATACTATTGGATCTTGGACTAACAGTCTAATTATTTAACTTAGGAAACTGTCATACTGGCTTGCCAACTTTTTATTTATGAAAGCAAATATTCATAAATTATATCTATTTTACCAATTATTCTGTGCCCGTGGGTGATAGTTGAAGAATACAACATTACAGCATGCAAAATACTTTGAAACTATATTGTGTTAGTGTTAAGATATGGGTTGCTGCAAACTCTGAAGTGCAACTATATTTTGATCAACATAGAATATTTTCTGTGGATGCTCATTCAACCTTTTAATTAATTTGATTTCATTCTATTTGCTCCCTGATAGTTTTTAGCCTTATTCAGAAAGCAGTAAAACAAGTTTTATTTTAGGCACAAATATGTAAGTCCCGTAAGTGCCTACTTAAGCATAAGTATGAGCTTTAGTACTTTGCTGAATACAGATGGATTTAAGCAAATGCTTAAATGCTTTGCTGAATGGAGGCCTTGTGAATATTCTAGTAAGCAAGTTTGCTGGAGGAATATTCAGACTGTGAATTTTAACTGAACATCAGGGAATATGTTTGAAAGCATGTTTATAGTCACTTCCCTTCAGCATTTACATCAGAGGCCTGAGTAGTTCTATACATTTTAATTAGTCATTCTCATTTAAACCAGTGATTCTCAAACGAGTACCGTGAGTTCCTTTCCAGGGTATCATGCAGTATTAGCATGGTTGGGTGTTCAAACATGCATGATTTACAAGATAAATACAGAGATTTCAAAAAGGAATCCATAGCGTCAAAATTATTCTGACTTGTTGTAGTCTTTTTGAGTATTTTGCAACAGAATTGCTTTATTATTTTTTTGCAGTTAAAAGAATGAAAGAAAGCCAAGAACTGGCATTTTCTGAGGGATACCGTGAGTCTAATGAGGGGTGCCTTTGAGTTTATAAAGGTTGAAAACCACTGATCTAAATAGTGAACACACATATACCTTGAGATTTTAATAGCCAGTTAAGTAGTTTGAAGTTGAATGAATGAAATGCAAAGCAAGAACAATTTGCAGAAATTATTTGAACAATTCTAAATGAAAACTAAATTAGAGAAAGTTGTGATTTGTCCCTGGATATGTCATGATTAAAGGAAAATGTTAAATATGTCCATTACCTGCTTTAGACAAGTGAAGCATGTCGCTATAATTATTTCCTGGAGCTTTGTGGTTGTGCTGCTAGGGTTGGCTGTGTTTTTCCTGACATCTGAAATAATGTAAACTGAAAGTGCATCATACATTTTAATTCCACATTTGCATTCATTTCATCACAGGTGTTTCAGCCCAGCTCACCAGTACACGGCTACGCAGAAACACCTCCGTGGGAACGCCCTTTTGGATGGCACCTGAGGTGGGCAAAATATTCTCTTTATAATGTATGTTATATCCATTTGTTGCAATACATATTTTTTGTTTTAATAGTTCATTACCTCAAGGAAATGATACCTTCAATACCCAGAAAGTAGCATTTACTGATTCCTGGTTAGTTTGGTTTTCATTTCCTTCCAAACCTTTTGCTCTCATGCAATGTGATGAAGAGTTAGACAAATTAAATTCCTTTAATAATTGGAGCTGTACTATCTTCTATTAAATTCTATGTGACTTTCCTAGAAGTTATAAACTAATCTTTGATTAATTTAGAACAATGTATGTCATTCTAATAAAATTTTATTTGTTTTATCCCTATCAATTTTAAATCCTTAAATGCATAGTTGAAGTCCAGCACAGTAGAAGACACTCAGCTCAGCTGGTTTAGCATCTGCCTTGTTGGAGATCTAAATCTTCAAACTTCATTACCTTTTTTTTAATCCACCCCTTGCCCACTTCTGACTCTGGAGAGGTTTCACTAAAATGCGGAGGGGCCAGGTCACTTGTGGATTGCAAAGATCTGGAATTAATCTGATCATTTCCACATGCTTTTATATAGGGTGGATAGTGCACGCTAGGGCTGTGCAAAGTTTTGGGTGCTGATTCAATTCCAAGGAGATTCGGCCCAATTCGGTGGCTGAATCTCCAAATCTGAAACGAATTGGGAGACCAATAAAAAGGTCTGAATCGATTCAAAGCTCTCTGAATCAATTTGGAAAAGATTCAGAGAGCTTTGGAGATTTGGGCAATCTCCGCTCGCTGCCGCAGGGAGCTGGACTCCGTGCCAGGGGGTTGGCGGGGGGGGACCACGGGGAGACCTCTGCCAGGCCCCATCCCCTGCCTGCTCCCCCAGCCCCCCTGAGTGCTTCCGACGTCAGCAGCTGGTGAGTGTGGGGCTTCTTTTTTTAAAGACCCAAGATGCTGGGGTTGGGAGGGACAGCCATTGATGGGGGTGGGAGAGTGGGCAGGGGATGGGGCCTGCTTGATTTGGAGATTTGGCCAATTTGGCAGTGGCCAAATCTCTGAATCAGATTAGGCCAAATCATTATGGGGCAGTGATCCAAATCACCAAATTGAATCACTGTCCCCCAAATCAGCCAAATCTGAATCCGAAGCGAATACTAGCTGCTTTGCACAGGCCTATTGCATGCATCGATATTTTCCCACACATTTGCAGTTGGTTTGTGATGAGATGCCCATATTCCCTTGCATACAATAGTTACAGGACTGAGAAAAGGGATACCATTTTTCTTTAGCTGGTTAAACAAGGGTGTTTGGAGGATTTTTTTTTTCCTAATCTGTTTGCACAGTTCTGAAAGTAGTTATACTGTAGGGACACTGAGCATTGGGAAGGTGTATACAAAGAACATTTCACAGCTAATGTACTATCATTGTGTGGTATCAACAATTAGAAGTCAGACTGTTTATATTGAAATGATACTCTGATATTGAAAAGAAAGTTTAAATGAACAAGGATGCTAGTGTCCATGGAACTTACTGCATGCAAAATGAAGGCCTGGACAGATAGTACCTTTACACCTATATAACTCGTGTCAGTTTTATAAACTCAAGGCACACATTAGAAAATGTCAGCTCTTAATTTTCACTTTTTTTTTTTTTTTTTTTTTTTTTTACAATAGAAATATAATAGAGCAATTTTTCTGTTGCAAAAAACTCAGAAAGACGACACATGTAGAATGCATTTAACACTATGGATTCCTATTTGAAATCTCTGGGTTTATTTTGTGAATCTTGGTAAAATTATACCATGATTTGGAGTATTTACTGCATCCTGGATAACTCCATACAGTAGGTAGCTATTAAAATAACTTTGCCTTAAGCAAATGGCTACTCAGGGTTAATCTGCAAAAACATGATTCCTGCACTGTTGTAACTTACAGTGGCGTAGAATTACCCCTGATTCTTTCAGAAGCAATGGAATGAAATTGCCCTGGTGCAAAAGTTTTTTTTCATCTGTCTGCTTCCTTAATTATACCAATGTAAGAGTGCTGTCCATCAAGGCCCTGAGTGTCGATAATAGCAATAACAGCAGATAGGAGCGGAAGCTAATGACATTTTTTGATACATCTGTGTTTTACAGATTCCAAATTATGTTTCTTCTCAGCATAGTTCATGTATGTTACTTCAGGGCAACTTGCCCTGAGTCATACAGCAACATCTCAGGAAGGAAAGCAAGAACTCTGACTCTATGCCTTGTAGAAAGATAGTTTGCTGAGTTATTCTGAAGTCTGGGCAAAGCTGGCACCTTGGAGACTAACTGGTTCAGAAAGTCATAAGCTTTTATAGTTAGCATCAGATGGAATAGACTGTTGCTTGTGAAAGCTTATGTCTTTCTGAACTGTTAGTCCTATGCCCTTGTCACTTAAGTTGCACTGGGTTTGGCAGAAAAGCCTGTGTCAAAATGTCCTGAATAATAGGACACTCTTCAGTACCTTTTCTACCTATATTTATTTCTTTGTCCACTAGGGTCCAGCAAGAGCAGCTGAATTTTGTCTGGCCTTTCAGTAGATTGATTATGCTTTTAGTGTGTTTGTCTTTGTGAGCCCACTGACAGGCTAAAAGAGAAATGGATGAAATCCCAGACTTCGTATAGGACTCAGCCATGTCTTTTTTAGTCCTTAGACTACACTGTGTATATGAAGATAGTCAGCTAAAGACAGATCATCTCAAATCAACTTTTAGATGGCACTGATATGACACAATATTGCATAGTTCAAAGCAGTCAAAGAAATGCATTTTCTGTAGAACCAGGAATGATCACCACAGGGAAATCATTCCTTACCAAAACTGAATGCACTGCCCTTTGAAAGAGCACCAGGCATGGGTACAGCAAGTCTTTTACTCTGCACAGTGATGTCTTCAGTTACTCAAGTCAGGGAGTGACACATTCATCCCCCACAGCTGAATTGTCCTCTAGAACAAATGCAGCAACAACAACAAATTCCCAAACAGCCTGATTGCTTCTTGCAAATGAGATGAAAGGGAAAGATCAATGAATACAGATTTTTTTTTTTAATGTATGTCAGTAAGATGAATAGCAAAGTACTGAAGGCTTTGGATTGCACAGAATTATGTTATAATGCAATGACATGATATCCAATGACAAGGTCATACTACTAAAGTGGTTGTTATAAGTGTTCTGTAGTTTATAGGCGACAAACTTAGCTTTCTGGCAGAATATTACTAAAGATCTTTACCAGACAAATCAAGAGTTACTAGGAGCCAGAAATGGAAAATGAGCTAGTATCTTCTTCATTCGTTTTTCTATTGTTTTACTTATTTGCTTTGCCAAAATTGCTTTCACAAGCAAAAATTAAACTGGCTACTGTTTGTCTGTCTCCACTCTCTCAGTGGTACTTAGCACAGAGTTTTTAGTATTTTGATACCTTGGATTTTAGCTTAAACCAACTATTTGTTCTTAATTTGCCTATTTTTGTTATTATTCTGGTTCAGTTTTAGCCTCTCTGGCATATTTATATTGCTCCAGGGATTGCAATATAACTAGAATCCTAGTCTCAGATTTTACAGATATTTTTCTTAAAATGTATGAGTGTTAAACCAACTCACTGGGCCCCCAACACCTAAGTTATTCAAGATACTTCTTCACTGACAGGTGTAGGCCTCTGTGGCATAAGTACATGCAATTAAGATAAAGCAATAAACTCTGGAATAGTTTGCTCTGGAGTTAATTGTCCTGGGTGCAGTGTCTACACGTGCATGTAGGACAGCAGCAATTTGAGTTGGGGCAGAGCAGGCTGCCAAAATGCTACTGAAGCCCCCTAGGCCACCCTGAGTTAGAGATGCCTCTGACTGGTTGCTGGATGCTGTCTTAGACCAAATAACTGACATAATGCACCTGGCCAAAAGGCTACCCAGAGCCTTTATTTATATTGTCCTACCTTTTATGGATTTAGAAAACTTGAATTTATTGTTATAATAAAAGTAAACTAATCGCTCTACATTTGCATTGATTGCACGCTAGAAAATAGCTGTGACATTGTTCCCGTAAGTAACAATGAATAGTATAAGGAGTATGTGCTTTATAAATGGAAAGCTGGGAAATGAAAATAAACCATAAGAAGCCCGCACAATGACAATTAGACTGTGCAGTATAGAGAGGTTTATTTCTTTGAACAAAATACTAACTAAGTACAAACAGTGACCTGCAAAAGAAATATAATACACCATTCCAACATCAGAACTCTCCAAACCTCTTGGATAAGGATTATGCTTTGTATCTAAGCAAACAGAGAGGCCTATACCTGCCAGCAAAAAATTTTGAATATAGTCCAAACATTTGCTTCTTTTAAAAATGTTTGCACTCCCATCTATTTTTCTTTCTTTTGCTAAATAAAGCTGATTACAGCCAGGCATGGAAATGAACCTGCTGTAACTAATCTAAAAAGTGATCTTGCACTGCCTCACAAAGAATGGTTGATATTTTACCATCTCCATAACAACCAGTTTACGTCACAAGAGAAACATAAGACACCTTAGTAACCACTGTGCCATCATTATTTATAATGGGACCTTAGCTAAAGACATTCTAAAACCTGTACAGACCATACATTCTAACATGGCTGGGGCTTATGATGACAACATATTTTTTATTAAATTCAAATTATTGAATTTGTAATGTTTTCTATGAATAAGTGCAATCAGGGATTGAAATTATAGTCATAGTTCCCTCTCACTATGATTTTCTGGTGAGGAAAATAATTTTCCTCTGAACAAGAATGCACAGGAAAAAAATAGATTATTTGGGATCGCTGCTCTGAAAATACGGTTATACCTCTGTAACTGAAAGTCGTCATTAGGTACATACCACATCAGCACAGGAGCACACTTAAACTTCCCTTTTCCAAGTAGCCAATCCAGCCCCCAAATAACTATTATAAATGTGCTACTATTTACCTGAATGTTTGAGCTACTAGGCAGGCATATATAAATTTGCAAACTAGC